GCATAAGGAAAAACTGTAAAATGACAAATGGGTTAAGTTTTCTGGAGAAACTCAAACAAAACAGGAACATGGAAGTGCAGTAAGGAAGTTTGTCTATATGTACACACACTCACAGTGAAGAAAGTAAGGTCAGTTCAGAAAACTGATGGAGAATTCACTTCCTGCTTCTCTGCTTCTCCATGCACCTTCTGGTAACTGATCCAAACACATCGTCTCCGCCTTTTCCCCCTGACCCAATGTGTGTCCCACTGCAATTATTGATGGTCTTTGTTGCCCTTGAAAAAAATGAATGCATCATCTTTCCCTGCTCACACTTTATTTCTGGGCTGTCCCCTCCACCCTCAGGCAGGACACTAAGCTGGGCCATGAGACCATAGCTGGGCAGTGCCGGAGGTCCTGGTGACTTGCCATGTGAAGGATGGAGTACCTCTCTGGATCTTGCTCAGCAAGTGTCCAAGATGGTTGTGGCACCAAAAAGAAAGCTCAGTTGTGACAGGGGGTCCCCAGGAAAAATGGAAGTTCCAGGTTCCTTGCCCCCTAGCCCCGGAGGAGGGTGGAGCTGAGCAGAGAAGAGAAGGAATCTGAAGAGGAAGGAAGCAGGATGGAGAGCCAGAAGGATACCTGAGGAAGCCACATGGAGCAGAGAGACAGGTGAGTTTCTTGGCCGTGGACTGATTGAAACAGATGTGGGTGAGAGGCCTGTAGGGAGGTTTCTACGGCAGTGTTTATATTAATTTTGATTTTGCTCTTTTCCTCTCAGACTTGTCTGGCCCTGTCTGACCCTTTTCTATGGGTCCTGGTGCTTTAGGCTTGTGGCAGCTTTCAGGCCTTGCTTTGAGCCAATCTCTTTTGGGTTGCCTTTTGCCCATGAGGGGATGGGTCACTTCAGGTGTTTGATTTAGAAATTATATTCTTTATCTTCTGTGTTGTATTCTCACTGTATTAAAGTTCCTTTCCATTAAAGCTCTTATGTCTCGTCTTGATGCAACAGATGGCAGAAGCTATTTAGAGCAGACAGGTTTGGGGGTTCATGGTGCCCCTCTCTCCCTGTCCTGTAACATAATGACAGGTCATCAGTTCTGTTATGTGCAAAAGGACATGATATAGACGTGAAGGTCACCTTGTTCTGTGTGGACCAACGAACAGCAGTTCATTGGAATCGACATCAATAAAGAGGTCTCAGGGAGATACACCCTGCAGCTGCTGAATGAGTTTCTTTTGAGAAGGTCTAATAAAAGAAATGGGTGGGCTGAGCCCTGAGTAGCTGGAGGGATGTGGACACAGACAGGATGTACCCTCTCTGGGAACACGGTAGAGAGGAATCAAGTGGTTTGATCTGAGATTTATGATGCTGTGATTCTAGTGGGGTGCCTGAGGGCAGGTGATGGGAATAAATAAAGCTGGAAGCTGACACTGGAAGCTTCTCAGGAATGGACCCCAGGACATCCCAGGTGTTTCTGCTGGGTGTATTTACAGTGCTCTTGATGAACGAAGGTAAGGCCTGGTGAGGGAGGCCTTGATGGGTAGGGAGAGGTTGCGGGAAGAAAGAGAGGGACTTCTAAACTTGACTCTTGGGACTCTTGTGCAAGGATTAAGGAGAATTTTTCTTCTCTTCCCAGGAGACAGAGTCCTGACAATGAAAAGTATGGTATAGTTGTTGCAAGTTCATGGCTAAATGACGCCACAATGACAAGGGACATCCATGCCGACTTTACACCTTGCCCGTGTCCTCCCTGGCTGTAGCCACTCTCTCCTCTCACTGCTCCAGTTTCTGTTTCCTGTCTCTGGCCCTGGCTGGTGGGGGGCTGGTGGTCTCTCAAGGAGGGTGTCTTTGACCCCTGGAGAGTTCTAACTGTCACCCACTCTGACAAAAGCTGGGAAGGATGTGCACTTCCTCCTTGTGAGGCTTATACCAAACAGCATAAATGTTTACAGGTAGGGACAGGCTTGTGAAGCAGAATCACTTTCCCTCAAATTTTGCTCTCCAACTTTCTTTCTTTAGTAGCGCGGTTTTGCAAAGTATGTGACTACTTTGATGGATACCAGTGCATTACCCCGATGAAACATTGCTGGAAGTTTAATGTACTAAGTTATAACAGGAGTTGTACAACAGATCACTTTTATTTTAGTGATCGTCTCACAGGTAAGTGGAGTTAGCGAGAGACATTAAATATTATCAAATGCCCCCACCATCTCAGGAGTCAAGTTGTGGAGGGAAGTGGGAGCGTGAGAGAGTGGGGAAAGCAGGATTCTCTTCCATGCAGAACCAGGTGGAGGTGCAACTGTTGTGTGATCAGATCTAGAGTCAGAGGTGAAATGTAGACACAGCCTCAGGGTTCATGCTAGTCTGCAGAAAACCAGTGGGGTTTTGTAGGGAAGCCATTGCTAGAAGGAAGGTGAGATTAAGCATTTATTTATTATTTATTTACTTAGGACTTTATCTGTATCGCTATACAAAACTATCTTGTGATCCTTGTGATGCGGGAATGACACAGATATTCCATGATCTTCTGAAAGAAACGCATTGCTGCAATAATAAAGACTTTTGTAATCTTCCTGAAAGAAACCCTGATATTCAAAGAAAATATAGAGAAAGAGTCCCAGGTGATGATGAAGAAGAAAATGAAGATAGAGTTATACTGACATGATTACAGATGAATACCATTAAAATAATTAAGATCCTTAAACGATTTTCTTCCAATTATCTTTGCCCATCTTATACCCGTCGACAATATCATTTTTCCATTTCTCAAACCAAGACCCTACCTTCTTTCTCCATTCCATTAGATCTATCTATGAAATTTATCAGTCCTGTGTCAGTGGTTCCTTTACTGAACATGTAGACAACAAAAAAACTAATTCTACCTTCTGATTAAATTCCTCACCTTTGTTCTCTATACCACCTGCTCTTTAGTCCTGATGCTAAACTTGGGCTAATGTCAGAGTTCTAAGTTTCTGGTAAAGGCAATAAAGTCTGGTCAAGGTTATGAGCAAAGGTTAGGAGAAAGAAAATTGAACAGATAGGTACAAAAAAGAAGAAATCCTTGGGTGGAAGGTAGAAGAGTATTTGGCAGGGCTAGAGAGGGCTTGTATTAAACATTGGACTGCAGAAAGTCATGTGAACTAGAAGACTCTAACTCGTGGGGTCCAAGACAGGAGAGTCTTAGTGTCTGCCACCACTTACTAGGCAGCTGCTCCTGTTCACAGGGCTACTGTGCTTCTATTCATCTTACCTTGTTCTCATGGCCAACACAGATTAGATCAGAAGGGGCCCTTGGCTGAGTGTTTGCCATTCATTCTGTCTTCAGGTATGTGAGTCACTCTACCACCCAAACTCAAATATATTTCACTGTAAATATCTCAACATCGTCTTGGGTTCAGCACACTCATTGGTAGGAAACTGGTGTCTTTCATCTACAGGCACCTACCTCACTACTGAACAATGTCAAGGAGAGCACCTACCTCACTACTGAACAATGTCAAGGAGAGAGAAGAGTTTCAGATCTTTTCTGTATTTTCCTACCCAAAAATAATATTCTATGAAATGACAAAAATTAATCCCTAAATTGTTTTTCACTGGCTTAGATTGATAAATTATTTTTGACATGTTAATTTTCCTGTGTTAGAATTTGCAGACCATTACATTTAATTTTTAGCTTTGTGATTATATAAACCTATATAATATCATCCCAGGTTTGGTCACTTCCCTCTGGGCACCCAGACTTCTGAACGCTTATTTGTTGTTACCATATTATGTTTGCATAAATAGATATACTATTCTAATATGTGGTTTAATTTTTAAATAGTTGCATGATGTGCATATTGGCATTTTCCCCAAGTTACATAATGTTTGATAAATATTTTACTTTAGCATGTTCAGAAGTAAAAAACTAGGATAGATTTTCCTATTCAGGGTTGGATAATTAGTTTATTTGGGTAGAATGAAAATATTAGATATTACAACAATTCATGGGGGAATTACTGAGATGTAAGTTACCTCTTTCTAAAGTGTCTCCTTTTATATTTTTACTGTGCCTTGCCGTACTTGTTAGGACCTGTAGCATGATGGTAGTACAAGTGGTAGAAGTCTTTGTAGCAGACCTAAGTAAAAACAGTCAACCTTTCATTATATATACAGGAAGACCACTGTGTGTGAGACAGAGGTGGAGTGGGGGGAGGGGCACGTTTGGTCACGGGACAGCTCTCCACAGAGGCTGCTGTTGAGATGAGCAGTGCTCAGAATCACCTGGCTTCCTCAGATCCAACATAGCTCAGTTTCCTCCATGCTTCGGACATGGAAAAATGTGTGCGGTGTCATCTCTTTGGAAACACCCTGCAGGTCTTCCTACCCCAGTTTGTTAGGGAAGCGGGGTACAAGTATAGATAATTCTCTTCTTATCTTCTGACCCTTAACCCTAAAGAGAATCTCACTCTAGGAGTGAGAAAATCATTCTTCCTGGTTCTGGTGTAAATTCCTTTCTATGGTCTACCCTTCTCTTCACTCTGAGTATAGCATTCATGAGCAACATTCAAGAAGACTTGAATCATCTCTTTTCACTATGCCCATCACTCCCCAGGAGGCCAGGATTATATGCTTTAATTGGAGTGTGATAAGAAAAACAATGCAGAGAGAAATAAGTAATAAAAACATGAAAATATCCTGCCACAGAAGGAAGGGAAAAGAATTGATTTATCTCCCATTTCTGAAGCAACTTAAGTACACACAAAAAGCACTTGATTTTGTGACAACCTGCAGGATGTGCTGATTTTGTTCTCAAAGTGTTTTCCAGCCTCCAATTCCCTCACCTACCCCCACATTCCGTCCCTTCTTCCCTCCATGTTCAAGATTAAGGACCTAACAAGGAGTGGACTTTTCTCTTACCCAATCAGAAGGTAGAGCCATGGGTCTGTGGCCCAAGATGTGTTTTTAAGAGAAACCATTGTGAAGAGGTTAAGACAACAACTCTCAGGGATTGAAACTACACAAAGACCCACCATATTTAGAGGTGTTCATTACACCGGTCATAGCCCCTGCAGCACCGGAAATTCACCAAATAGTTGCTCCACTTTATGTGGTTCACATTAGCGCACTTTATCTTGCAACCCATGACGGTTAACCAGGGAGCACCATCTGCTGCAGAAGCAAGGAGAAACACATCAGCCAAGAAACTTCTTTCTATTCCTTCTCAACAAGGAAAAGCAACCTTGTGTGGTTCAAGACTCTGTTCTTCAAATATGAAGAACTGGAAGATGTTGCAAGCTGGGGGCTTCCCAAAAGAAAGACAATGTCAACATACTTTGCAAAAATTATTGGGAGAGGGTTGGGGAGTGGGGAGAAAGTGATTACAGCAAAGCAAGGAATACAAAAGTTGGAGTTTCCATTGAAAATCTTAACACTGGTTTATGTAGGGTTATAGGTGCCAAAGGGTGACTTAGTGCGAAGGGTAGGCAAACAGAAATCATGAGGTTTGGCCTTACCCATCAAGGGCCATTAAGACAGCATCAATTGCTGATACTGATCTTCTGTTTGCTGTCTGCCAATTCCAGGTAAGTAAAATGAGGGAGTTTATTAAACAATCAAGAGCAGGCACCTGAGTCTGGGAGCAACCTCCAGATAGCTCTGGGAAGGTTGCCCCAATCCCGAGCTTCTCAGGGAGACGAACATACATTACTCAAAAGCTTCAGTAGGTAAAGAGAACTTGAGTAGGGTCTGATAAATATATCTGATGTTATCCATACATTGAGGAAAATAAAGAGGGTAGTTAAAATCCACCTGATTGAGAGCCTGATCTTCCGGGCACCCGCCATTTTAGCAACATCCTAAACCTTGATGTCTGTGTGTTTGAAATGACTGGCTTGCCTAGAGGCAGTTCTCTTGTGCACACAGCTTCTTAAGCTTGCACTTAGTTGAGACCAGAGAGAAGGGTCTCAACTTCAACCCTCTTAATGTTGATTTTAGTTAGCACTTCTGCTTCCACAGTTTAAAACCACCCACAGGGAAGTCTAGACAGGGACAGACAAGGAGCTGCTGCTGCTGTCTCCACTTAGCCACTGACCACGGTCCCTTCCTCTAGGCCTTAATGCAGTCTCCTTTGTTTTCTTCAAGCTTCTCAAAATACTGGCTCCAGCAATACACCCTTAGGCCTTAGTGAACACCTCCACCAGCTTTCATTGTGGCATTTGATGGGGCAAGTGTCAGTCACCCCAGGACTGCCTATAGTAAGGTCAGATGTCTCCTTTTGATTTTTATTTCATGTATTTATTTTAATTTTAAAAGTCATTGGTTCAGGGCCCTACCTGTTGGTGCAATGGATTAAAGTGCAGTACTATGAAGCTATCCACAGCCACTGCAGCACAAGTTCAATCCCAGGCCAGGGAGGTGACTCACAAGGCGCCACAGACCTCCCCTGTCTCGCCCACTGTTCCCCTCAGCAGTGTACTTTGTTGATGTGCCTGTTCTGCTCCCCACTCTGTGTCTGGTGAAACCTTTCACTTCTCGCACATCAGGCCTATAGCGCAGTTCTTGTATGCATAAATAAATAAATCTTTAAAAAAATCTTTAAAGATTTATTTATTCATAAAGGGCTGGGGTACAAGCCAGAGATGTGGAGGGTGAGAAGATTCACCAGAGACAGAGTGGGGAGCAGAACAGGCAGATCCACGAAGTACACTGCTGAGGGGAGCAGCGGGCGGGTCAGGAGAGGTCTGCCACGCCATGTGGTCACCTCCGGGGCAGACGGGAATTAAACTCATGCGGAAGTGGCTTTAGCTTCTTAGTGCAGTGCTTTAACCCGCTGCGCCACCAGGGAGGGCCCCCATAAATAAATCTTTTTAAAAATGATTGTGTTACCATTGGTTTACAATACTGTGTAAATTTGGGGAATCTGCATCACAGGTCTGCATAAACATGTGTCTGTGTCAAGGTCCCTCCTTCTCACTGTGGCTGGTCCACCTCTGTCTGCCTCCGCTGCCCTCTGCCGTCCCCAGCCCACAACTTACTAGTGAAAATCTTCAGAGTTGCACAAACCTCATGCTCTGCTGCTAAGCATAGTCCTCTGCCTCGCAAACACTTCTGTCCTGGAAACTGGAAGTGACACATCCGACACTTAATGAGTTCTGTTATGGGGCCAGAGAAGAGAGAAAGAGAAGTGAGAGCAGATTTCTCATGGCTGGGTGAGGGGTCCCCATCCCTTTGGCTTACAGCCAGCTTGACGTCCCCCGCCTTTGTCAGAGAGCAGGCGAGCACACACCTCTGTGAAAATAGATCACACACCAGAGTTCGTGGTCTCTGAAGTGCCAGCCTGAGACATGTCCAAGGGAAAGAAGCTGGAGGGCTAGGAAACCGAGGAACGGCCCCAAGAACAACCAGGTCCTTTAGTACTTACTAGAAACATGCGCTCCTTTAATCCGTAGTGTCTGGGCTGTGCTGACCAAGGAAAAGAAAAGAAATCTGCAATGTTGTCTTGAGATCGAGTCCCGCCCAGAGCCACAGCCTAGAGCCACCGCCGGCCTTGTAAAGACTGCAGGTCCTTCCGGTGCTCCTAACGGGGGCCCCTCCAGGTCCTGTATGTCCCCCCACAAATCCTAGTCACCCATCTCAGCATCTTTGCACCTCTTCCCTTCTTTCAGATTGTTTCATTTCTCTCGTGTCTCTCAGACTTCCTTACCACCCCTAGGATGCATGCAGCGTAGCTCATCGGAGGATAAATGCCCCACCACCCTTTTTTCCCTGGCCTTCTTCCCTTCTTTTCTTCTCTCTCTCTTTTTAAAAAGATTTATTTATAGGCACTCCCTGTGGCGCAGTGGGTTAAAGCAGAGCACTAAGAAGCTAAAGCCACTTCAGCATGAGTTCGATCCCCACCCTGGAGGTGACCCACATGGCGCAGCAGACCTCTCCTGACCCGCCCGCTGCTCCCCTCTGCAGTGTACTTCATTGATCTGCCTGTCCTGCTCCCCACTCTGTCTCTGGTGAATCCCCTCACTGCCCCTGCATGTCTGGCTGTACCCCAGATCTGTATGCATAAATAAATACTTTTTTAAAATTTATTTATGCATATGGAGTTGGGGTCCAGGTGAGAGGTGCATGGGCTGTGAAAGGACTCACCAAAAACAGAGTGGGGAGCAGAACAGGCAGGTCAACAAAGTACATTGCCCAGGGGAGCAGCAGGCGAGACAAGAGAGGTCTGCCGTGCCACGTGGGTCACCTCCAGGGGCAGGGATTGAACTTGCACTGGAGCAGCTGTGGCTCACTTGCAGTGCTTTAACCTGTTGCGCCACCAGGGAGGTCTCTTCCCTTCCTTTCAATTGTCTCTATGTGCTCTCTCACCTAGGCATGCCGGAAAGTAACACTGGTGGGGAGCCGCTGAGATACAAGAAGGTGCTGCCTTTGGAGTTGGCTCGTGGTGCTGTGATACAAACATTCCTTCTCTCCCTTTTCCTTGTTCTTTATTACCCTCATTCCCAGCCTTGTCAACTGCTGCTCAAGCTATTTTGCCAAACTTAAAATTCACTCCCACTCAGACCCATCATGTGGGAAGAGGTTGCAGAACCTGGAAATTTGAGGTCTCTCCCTGTGCTCCTGTTAACCCACAGCATCCACCCGGCCCCCATCCACATCCTCCTTCCCCCCTCTCCTCCGTCCTCTCCCTCCTTGGCCACACCCCTGATCTATTTTTGCTCACCTGAATGATCTCTCTTCAAAAATGCCCCAGATAGTACTGTTGGAAAAGAAGATACACTCTTTGCAATCCCCACTTCACAGCTTCTAGGAAAATCATCATGATTTCTCTATAACCCACTTCTTTCCAGCTGGCAGGGGAGGGCAGGAGACTTAGGCAAAGGACAAGGGACCTGATGTGTTGTGGGTGGTAGTGTGGTGTTGGCGTGACAACCTCTGTTACCCCAGGCTTCCCACAGGAGGACCTCTGTTGTGGGAAGCCTGCCACACACCAGGACCCGGCACACACCTGCTGGCCCCAGAGACTCACCTCCAAAGCAGCAGAACAGGATGGGGAGTCCCAGGAGGGGAGACCTGTTCATTTTGGAAGGAGACAGGACTCAGAAAAGCAGAGGCAGTCAGGTGCCTATTTATACCTCCAGGCTGGGCTTCCCCAGCAAGGGCCAGGGGAGGGGACACTGAGGAAGTCCTTTAAAGGACATCTGCTCGAGGGACATCTGTGACCTATTATTTCTCCTTTACAAAAATCAGGGGAGTGGAGAGAGAGGCTGGGCAGGTAAAGTCTGAGCCTGATTTATTCCAATCCCACCACCCCACCACCTAGGATTTTGTTGTCATATCCTGTGGTCTTCTATGACCCCCTGGGAAAGAAGGAGGGAGGAATAGGGAGGAAGGTCTGGGGGGGGGTTGGATTCAGAGTCATCCACACCCAGGCACTCATTACAGCTGAAAGGAAGTGTGAGTGGTGTGAGTGCAGGTGGCCAGAATGTAGAAAGGACGAAAGAAAGTTGAGCACAGAAACTTGAAGTGCTTCCCTTTCAGGACAAGGGGAAGAGAAGTGGAATAAGGCTCAGCAACTTTGATCCTGTCAAGCTTCCACTGCATCATATTGGAAAGACACAAACCCTGAAAGTAGAAGATGAGGACTGGGGAGAAAACTGCTCCTCTCTGAGAAAGGCTAGACCATGTGGGGAGTGGTATGACCATACCTCTCCTGGGAGCAGGGAAGCTGGTCCTTCCCACCTGATGTCAGGCCAGATGGATGGGGCCCAGGAGGGGGAGAGTTTGACTCCACCCTGAGAGTGAGTAGGTGGGTGCTTAATGATGCTGTTCTGTATACGATTAGGTGTTGAGATTACAGGCTAAGATTTTCATCTGCATCACCAAAGCTATGCACATCAATAAAAATGCTTCTTAAAAAGAAATATACTCTTCCATCAGATATCATTTTTATTTGTTTTAATTTATTTTTATTTTCTTATAGGTCTCATTATTTTTATTTTTTTTAAAGATTTATTTACTTATGCATACCAGAACTGGGGTACAGATAGTGGTGCAGGGTTGGGGGTTGAGAGGACTCACCAGAGAAACAATGGAGAACAGAGCAGGCAGATTGACTGAAACACACTGCTGAGGGGAGCAGTGGGCAGAACAGGAAAGGTTTGCTGCACCATGTGGGTCACCTCCCTGGCCGGGGGTTGAACTCGTGCTACAGTGGCTGCAGATACATACACAGTGCTGCTATTTAACTGGTTGTGCCACCAGGGAGGGCCAGTTCTCATTATTTTTAAAAGAAACATATCTACTCTCAACAGGGAATATTCCAAATGTCCGAGAACTCATTGATAATCAAGATAACCACACAGGGTGACCTTTTTGAATAGGTTGATGGGGATGGTGGTCAGGAACAGGATTTGAGGAAAAGGAGCTCAGTTTGGGCAGATCCCCCATACGATGACAGGGATCCACAAAATGAAGCCCCTCAGGCACCTGGGTTTTCCCCAATACCTATAGGGTTTATACCAGTGAACAGCAGGAAGAGAACAGTTTCTTCTAGATCAGTGTTTAAAGGCAGATCCACACAGCCTGTCTCTTTTTCTTCAGAAAAGTAAACAGCACAGCTCTAGATGGCAGGAACTAGATAAAACCAGAGTCTACCATCTTCAGGGATGTGAAAGAGCAGATTTGCAGACAAGAAAGAACCTGAAAGAAGAGTCTCGGGGGGGTTTGGTGTGTAGTCTCTTCTGTAAGATTTATCACTCCCCTGGGGTTTTTGGGGAGTCTCTCTTAGAATTACAATCCCTAGACAGTTGCTCCGCAGAGCACTGAAGTGACCAGGGACCTAGGTCTAGGATTCAAGGATGAAGAAGTCACCGGAAGTCTCTCCATTGTTCCTCTTACATCGTTTACAACAAAAATATGTTTCCTGTAATTTCAATATACTTCATGAAAAAACGAGTTGTCACCCAGGACAACTCTTTCTAAAGGCAACCTCAGCTAAGGACAAATGTCTACTTCCCATAGAAAACTGCCCAGTTCTTGAAGGCCATGTCAGAGAACTCTGAGCAAGTTGCCTGCTCACTCAAGGGCCACACAGCCCTCAATTACTGAGTGCGTCATTTCAGCTATAAAAACAGTCTTTGGTGGCCCTCCCTGGTGGCACAGCAGGTTAAAGCACAGCACTAAGAAGCTAAAGCCACTTCTGCATGAGTTCAATCCCCGCCTGCCCCGGAGGTGACCCACATGGCGCAGCAGACCTCTCCTGACCTGCCCACTGCTCCCCTCAGCAGTGTACTTCGTCCATCTGCCTGTTCTGCTCCCCACTCTGTCTCTGGTGAATCTTCTCACCCTCCGCATCTCTGGCCTGTACCCCAGTTCTGTATGCATAAATAAATAAATCTTTTTATAAAAATGAAGACTTAATAACTTAGCCTTCCTAAGTCTTAAAAGATACCACTATTTCTCTTTTTTCTGATGAAAAAAATTAAGGTAAGAGGGATGAAAGGATACACATGTTTCAGCAACTAGCACTAGAGAATCCAGATTTTTATCAAACTAGATAAACATGCAGCGTGTTTTCCTAACTTGATGTTATGATGGCCAGCTGTGGAAAGACAATAGCTGGCACCAATAAACCAGAGATTACAAGGCTTTATTATGATTTTTTTAAAACTCCTGAAGTATGACATGATTGGCAGTAAAATTCTATAACTGATAAATGGTCGTAGGTAGTTAATTGGAAAAATCCCCAAAAGATGCCGCGGACAGTGGGAGTCTTGGAAGAAGTTGGATCTGTGGCTCCCTGAAGAAGCCTGGGGGTCTGGGATCTGTCAGGGGGGCCAGGCCCTCTCTGGTCAGCTCCCTCTGCAGACAGACCCATTCCACTTATGCCCTAGACTTCAACTGAGGAGAACCTCTCTCACTTCCCTGTCGAAATGCCAATTGTCTCTTGTACCCTTCCCCTTCTCTCCCTTGTAGAGAAGTCAGCTTCAGGGGTTTGCATAAATGCTCTGTCTGTTCCTCCTGTGTGACCCACACCCTGGTGTAAATAAAATCAGTCTTCTCTTCAGTTCTTCCTCTCTCACTTCATATTACATCAGGGGCTGAGTATGTACTTATAATATCACTACTGTTCCCACCTCTGTCCCTACCACTGCTGAATTTGTCACCGCTTGAGTGTAGTTCACCCACAGCCGTATTTTCCTCTCACTATCTTAGTCTTTGCTGAATTAAATCCACTGAAACAGAGTCACGTGAGCATTCTCTTGAAGGGAAAGCTTTGCCTTTGTCCCTTTTGAGTCCAGCTGGGCTGCGGCCACAGAGCTGCTAGGAGGAATGGAGGAAGATCCAGAGCTACAGAGAGAGAGATGGCTTTAACGACTCAGGGGAAGACCCAGGGGAAGGCATAGAAGGATAAAAACGCAGCAGGGAGTGTTGTATACCTAGCATCAAGAAGAAGAAACCTGGAGCCTCCCTGGTGGTGCAGCGGGTTAGAACGCAGCACTGCAAGCCAGCCGCAGCTGCTTTAGTGCTAGTTCGATCCCCAGTCCCAGAGGTGACTCACATGGCGCAACAGACCTCTCCTGACCCGCCCGCTGCTCCCCTCAGCAGTGCACTTTGACAATTTGCCTGTTCTGGCCCCACTCTGTCTCTGGTGACTCCTCTCACCACCTCTGCACCTCTGGCCTGTACCCCAGTTCTGTATGCATAAATAAATAAAAACATTTAAAAAAAAGAAGAAGAAGAAGAGGTCCAAGAGAAGTGTGGACCCTGGTCATGACCCAAGTACCAGAAGTCAGCAGAGACCACTGTTCCCAAAGGGGGCAGTAATGTGTGTGGAGGGGCTGCCATTCCAGACGTGGGGGAGGTGAGAGGTGGGTGCAGGAGGTGGACTTGGGTCAGTACCTGACAGGCGTGTAACCCTGATAAGTTTGGGACCAGACCAAGCCTGGGATCCAGCCCACGGGGTGAGGAGGCACAGGACATGTTCTTCTTGGGGCCTTGGTCTGAGAAAGTTTCTGATCATTCAAGTCTAAATGAGCAGCAGATGGGTGGTGAAAAGCCTATTCAGGTGAATAAAGGGAACAAAGCGCACTGGAACAAGGCAACACTGTCCTTCTGGCCCCATTCAGAGGTGGGCACGGGAGGACTAAGGACAGCGGAGCACTTGATGCATCTAGACCTACTCCAGGAAAGGAAGAGCTATGAGGAGTGCAAACACTAACACAGGAAAGTGCTGAAATACAAGAGGAGAAAGAGGACACAGCCCCTCTTCAAGTCTCAGAAATCTCCAAGGAAAGATGCTTAGACGTAATAGAAGAATGTGAGATTCTTGGAAGAACCTGAGATTCCACACGGACCCTCCTCTTCATCCCGGAAAAGTTCCTCCCCCAAAGGGAAGTCCGCCGCTGAGCACTGAGTCCACTCAAGTCCTCGGGGGTCCATAATTTCAAAACTGATGAAATAGCCAACATTTTAGTGTCCCAGGTGTAATGGGGCCTGAGTCAAACCATTGCTATTTTTCTGGGTTTCAATTCTCAAATTCCTGTTTGGTTTTCACTATTTGCTAGTAGTTTGCCAGCCTGTCTTCTGTCCCAGCTCCTACTACTCAGCGCCATCTCCTGGCTTCATGGGGTCTCGGGTCAGGAGCCTCTTTTTAGTACTTCCCCCTTCCCAGGATAAATAAGCTTATTATTAAATTCACGCAAAATGCAAAAAGGACAAAGCCATAATGTGCACACTTTCTAAACACCAGCCTGGTTTTGCAACTGCCATGGAAGAGCTCCCCTCTCCTTATCTTCTTCTCAGAGGGTACCCCCAAAGGAGCCTTCTCACAAAGGGGCTGCCTCCCCCGTGGTGAGCTGCTTCTCACCTTAACAAAGCAAATAAAGCTAGGCTTGGGGCTAAACAGAGTTAGGCATGAATCCCAAGTCTGCCACATACTAGAAGTGATGCTCGTGTAAGGCATTGAGTCAGTACAGCTCAGCTTGCTCTCCCCTCTTAAGATGGGGCTATGAGTGAAGTTATGGCCTCTACACATACATAAAAACTCCAGTCCAGCTCCTTACACATAACACATACTCAATGTGAGGAGCTGTCTTATTATCATTATCTAACAAAGAGACCCAGATGCTACAGAACTGGACCCTCCATCATCAGAGTCATTCCTCTGGGCTAACGATCATGGCCCTTCACTCTTGGGTTTCTAATGTGAAGCTCCTGAAGTGGTGAGGTCATCACTCAATGTGTTCTCAATAAATCAGAATACCCTCTGTGGCATGTGGTATCAACAACACCTTGGTATGAATTAGCTGATCAATTGCTTTCTTAGCCATGGCAAAGTTTAGGGATATAACACTAATTTCTGGTGTCCACAGGAGCCCTAAAGAGTTAAAAATAAATAAATAAAATGATGTAAAAATAATCTATTATATTATTTTTTAAATAAGAAATAAATAAAGTTCCTTTCTGAGGTGACCCTGATGTATGTCAAAATCACTAAGCTATTGTGTTTAAGCACACTCCTTGACAAAGACAGTTAGAAAAAACCTCAGCCTCATATTTCTGGAAAGAGTCTCACTGAGTCATTGCTCCCCTGGGACAAAGAGGGTCACTTCTTTCTACTCATCTTCTCTCTGCTTCTCAGTAGGTGAGTGTGGGGTCAGGTAAAGGACACAAAACCATTAATTCAAAAGGAAATCATACACCCATGTTTATTGCAGCACTATTTACAAAAGTTAAGCTAGAGAAACCGCCTATGTGGTCTAAAACAGATGATCAGATCAAGAAGATGTGGTGTATATACACAATGGAATATTACTCAGCCATCAAAAAGATAGACTCGTGCCATTCGCAGCAATATGGATGGAACTAGAAGAGAAATAAGCCAGAAGAAAAAAAGAAGAGTATCAGACAGTCTCACTTATAGGAGAAATATAGGGGAACGGAGCAAGGAGCCAGAAAAAAAAAAAGACAAAACTAGCAGGCAAATTATAAATTAGAGACATAAAGCAAGGGAGGGCAAGGGGCCAAAACAGGGGAGAGAAGAGCACAAGGGACTGTGGTGACTGTTCATGAGTGATTTGGTGGTGGAATTTTATGGAGACTACACCTGAGGGGAGAAATCAAGCAGACAAAAATGAACAATGACATGTATGCATGTGTGTGGATGTGTGTGTATAAAAGAGTGGGGTCAGGTTGTGTAAAAGTAACTTTCAGGCAAAGTTTAAGGTTCAGGAGAGTGTGTGAGAGCACAGGGATCTCTGGCTTCTCAGTCCCTTCAAATCACACCTTCTCAGACCTGTTGCCTCGTCCCTATCATGACCAGCACGTCCCCGTCCTCACAGATGAGTAGCTGGAACAAATGAGGTAATGCATTTAAATTCCCTACTGTTATAAATCGGCTCTTGCACTGTCTGTCCTAAGCCTTGTTCCAGACCATGGAACCCAGGGGTTTCATTCCATGAACTCCATGCTTCTTTAGCCACTGTCTTTAGGCATTATTTCCAGAACGTTCAATTCTCCCCCCAAGAAACAGAGCTCTCACAAAAATCACCAACTCCTAGAGTTTAGGGGAATCAGAGTGAGCCGAGTTCACAGGGTGTAAGCATCACACAAGGAATGTCAAATAAGCAGAGAAAATGTGGGATCTGAAGCTGGCGCCCATCTCTGCTACACTTGGATCTCCTGCCTTCCCTGGGGTGATGTTACTTCTATTCTGTCTTCCTTTGAGAGGAAGGTTAACTCTTTCCTAAGCAAATGTCTTGGTCCAGGCCCTGCATTTGGCTGTGGAAATGGGAGAGGAGCAGAACACCCACTCTCCAAGAGGCAGGGCCAATCCAGTCAAGTAATGAATGAAGTCATTCATTTAAGTACATAAACTGCCCCTTTCCAACCCAAGATGCAGCTTGGCGAGGGAAGGAGCCACAGCTTCATCTCCGGTCCCCATCCTCTCTCGTTCACCACTTGTGAGTTCTTCTTGGAACTTGATTGTCAACCTTGTTCTTTCTATGAACTGGCTTCTGTTCCTCTTGCTTCCAGGAGCCTTCCTGATGCTGGGTTTGTCTTCCTCAGAGGGTGAGTCTGATAGGGAGGCGGAGGGAACAGGGTGAGGGTCAGGAAGTGATGTTCTAGAATGTCTTGATCAGGAAAACAAAAGCTGCAAGAACAGTGCTTACTGCTCCAGGTCCCAGAGCCCTCGGCTGCTGCGAATTCTCTTCCCCACATAGACCTGCTGTTGCTGCTCAGCCCAGCAGTCTGCCAAGCTCTAACTCCAGGAATGGCGTGCAAGGAAGGGGTGCTGCAGAGTCACTGGGGGGCTATAGACAGACTAGTCAGGGACCTTTTCCTTTCTCCCCCCTACTCCTTGGCCTTATTCTGTGGCTCTCTAAACTCATGCCCAGATGTGTCAAGAGCTACACTGTGCACCTCCTGTGATGAATTTATTGACAAGAGCTGCAAAAGGAAATCAGGTTCCTGTGTGGCCAAATACCCTGATTTTGCATGCCAAACCAAGGAAATCTACTCTCAACGTCACACCGGAGGTAAGGTTGAAGCAGAAGGGGGAAGGGTGGGTGGGTGAAGCTTAGGAACGGGCAAAAAGAGCACTAGATCTAGAGTCAGAGTTCTCTAGTTCCACCTGCTCTGACATGAACTCAGCTGATGGTCTGAGACATATTTCCATTTTCTGAGTTCGAATCACTCCTCTCCAATGGTTGGGTTTCCATAGATGACCACCCAGTTCTCATCCAACTCTGATATTCAGTGACAGAGCCCCCAGCAACCTAGGTTGTTATAGCTCTTCTGCTGTCAAGGGGTGGGGAGGGTAGTTGCCTTGGAAGAAGACCTGCCCCTTTTGTGGAAGGGCTCTTTCTAGAAGGACAGGAGGAAAACGAGGGTCTGCTGACTCGGCCACCTTCCTTGGCACATTCTAGGTCTAAACTGAAACTCTCTGCTCTTCTCCCACCCTTTCAGAATATGTCTTCATACATGCCATCCTGGGCTGCCCCAAAAAATGCGCGGAATATACACGCATCACCAACTGGGAGAAAGTGGTGTTCTTGTGTTGTAATGAAAACTATTGTAATAGCAAGAATCTAATCAATTTCACCCCATCAGAGGATTCATACTGAGGTATCGGGCTGATTCGCAGAGACCACCTCTGGCCTGCCTGCTGTCACTTTTCCTGAGCAAACATCAAGATCCCGAGTCAGGTGTGGGCTCACAACCCACCCACATTGTCCCCTGAGAGCCACGAGGCCTAAGAGAAATGAACTGTGGGCGAAGAAGGGATGTGGTGGGACTTTGCAGGACAGTCTGGGGCCCAGTCAGACTCACCAGGCCAGTTCTGGTTCTGCTCTTCTGGCTGGGGACCAAACCCACGTCTGGGTGCTGGTGGGAAAGCGGGGGAGGAGACAGGAGACATCTGGGGACCTCGAACAGATTGTAACCACAACTCAAAGAAAAACAAAGCCATAGCCAGGGAACTCAGGCCCGTTTCCATATGGACCAGATAAGAGGGAAAAAATCCTGTACAAAGAGTGGTCTGGCAAGGTCCCAAGTCACTTCGTTCCTCGGCTCTCTAGAATCCTAGACCCTATCGGGTTCCTGGTACTCTAGGAGTGGGGAGGCCCCAGAAGGAGAGACAGCCTATCTTTCCATGGGGGTCTCCTGCTTTTCTGGTTGGGATGAGGAGGCGATATGAGCCCACGGGAAGGAAAATATGCTGTCATCATCTGATGCAAGTATTAAAGGCCACGTTCTGAAAGACGTTTGTTTTCTGAATGTGAATCCCCACCACCTCCTCTTAGTAATAACTCAGTCACCTTTTCTGGACCACAGTCGCCTCCTACCTGACACTATTGCTATGAAGAGTGAGTTTCCAACTGGGAAGTGGGTGAGCTGGGAAGCACAATTATTTGGGTTCTTGAATATGTGCCAGACACCAGACCAACCACTTAGTACATTATCTCGTGAAACCCCATGCAACAGGAGATTGTCTCTGCCTTTAGAGATGACAATGTTGTGCGTCAGGGAGGCATTCACCAGGTAGTGTGCAGAGCAGATGACCAGCCGAGCCTGGATACAGACACAGAGGCACCTGCCAGCCCTCCCTTTACTCTGCCTTTACCCCTGTGTGGCCCAGAAGTGAGTGGTGCCTTTTGAGGGTGCCCAGAGGGTCCACAGTGGCACCACTAAAATCGGGTCCAGTTCCACCTCCATCACCCTCTTCCACCCATGTCCCTGGTCTCTTACCTCTGCCCCAGACCTCCCTCCCCTAGGCTTTCCAGAACCCTACTGACCAGCCCTGCCTGCTTAACTCCCCCAGTGTCTCTGGGGATGTTTGGCCTATTGAGATAGGACACTCAAGTGGCAGAGAACCAAGTTTTGACTTCAAATGGACACAGGCAAGCAGCAGGGGTCTGACATAGGCTATAGGGCTCTGG